CTTTTTAAAAATCGATAAATTGGTTTGTGAGTTAAAAATTTGATTAATTTTAATTTCATTTTTCAATACTTGTTGTTGTCCATTTCCAGACATTACTTTTTCTCTCACTCGTAATACTAAAAAATTATATTATTTCATTAAAATTGCACCAAAAAAAAAGAAAAGAAAAGAGAGAAGGAAAAAAGCTTTCGAGAATTCTCAGAAATAGCTAATGAGATATTTGGGAATTCGCGGGATTGCATTGAGAGAGAAATTTAATTATTAATGAGAACAATCAATTTTGCTATACATTTCATTGAGTGATTTATTGATAATTTATTTATTTTTTACTTTTAAATATTATATTATTGCATTTGTATATAATTGTGTTTAAAAAAAAATTTTATTTATTTTTGAAAAATTTAAATTTAAACTTTAATATTTTCAGTTTCGATAGTCGCTTCCTAAATTGGAAAAATTGTTCCGACTTGTGTGTGATATTGAAAATGAATGATCGTCTCGGAGGTAAATTAAAACAAAACAAAATAAACAAACAAAAAAACAAAAACAAAATAAATTCAATCAGTTTGAGAAATAATTTCAAAAAAAAAGAAAGGAAAAAATAAGTATAATTAATATTTCAAAATTTATTGATAAATATGATCAAAAAATATTGATTGAAAGATCATGATCAAATTTTATTGATGAATTTTTTAAATATGAAATAATGAATGAATAAATTAATTAAATCAGTTATTTGTAAAATTCAAAAATTTACAAATCAGTGATCATTAACTTTACAAAAAAAAATCGAAATTTTTAAAAAAAAGTTCATTTTTTTTTTTTAAAATGATAAATTGAGTATAATATGGATAAAATATAAATGTATGCAAATCCCAAAGGATTAGCAAAATGTTAAAAAAAAAAATTTTTGAGAATATTTTTCAAAAATGTGAAAGAGAAATCGAAATGGAATGCAGTTAATCATACTTAGTATATGATTCGATAAAAGTAAAAGAAAAATTTTTTAAAAAAAATAAAAAAAAAGCAAATAGCTAAATTTTTATAATTTTTAAATTTCAAAATATAAACAAAAAAAACTTTCAATTTTAAAACAATAACAATGGGAAAAATATTACTGAATTATTTTTCTTTTATTTTCAGCTAGTAATACCGGAAATATTTTATCTTATATTCCGGAAATATTTCAATCATTTTATATCAATTGCTTGAATAAATTTTTTTGATAAACACAAATTAAAATATTTTATTTGTTTTTTATTATAATAGTTGAATTATTCAAGTTAAATGAAATATTTATTAGCTAATTTATTGCTAATAATTAAATATTCTCGAAATAATTATCTTTTCTTTGTTTATCACTGAAATATTATCACTGATAATTTAGAATAATAAATCTAAAATGATTTTTTAATTAAATTGAAATGATAAAAATTATACAAAATAAAAAAAAATTAGAAATTAATGAATTATATTAGACAAAATTTTGCTAAAAAAATTATAAATAAATTTTGTTAAATTTTACCATAATAATTAATAATAAGTAAAATTTCAATAAATTTTATAATAATAAAAATTTTTTAAATAAAGTTTTAATTAATTTCAGGAATGATATTTTAAATTTATTACAAAATTTTAATTTTTTTTTTTTTTTTTTTGAGGACGACGACGTGAAGGTTACTTACGTGGTTGTATGTCCGATATAATACATTACAATCAGACATTAAGCGCACTTGGCGCAACGAACGCATGCACAGTTGTTAGGTTGCGTGATTTGTTCATTTCTACTGAAAGGTTTATTTTTTTTTATAATTTAAAATTATTGTTTTAAATATTATTTAATTGTTTGCATTAAAGTTAAAAAAGAAACGTAATTAATTGAAATAATTTTAATTATAATTTTTTCATTTTTTAAACTTAAATTATAATTTTTTTTTTCATTTTTATCTCTTTTAAAAATTAGTTTTATCATTTATTAATTAGCAACAAAATAATTTTAAAATGTAACATTAATAATTTATTTGTGTTTCAGTTAAATTAGATAGAATTATCAAAAAAAACTTTTTTTTTTTAATTAGTAAATTATAATATTCTGTTTATTATTAAATTTTTATTGTTAGAAATTTTTTGTTACTTAAATTATTAATCTAATTTAGTTGAACACACAAAAAAAAAAATCTATCAATTTTACATTTTAAAAATTAATTTATTACTAGTTAAGAAATTTTTTGTTGTTTAAATTATTAATCAAATTTAATTGAACACAAATAAAGTATTAATTTTAAACTTTAAAAATTAATTTAAAAGAGATAAATTTAAATTATAATAATTCTTGCATTAATCAATCATTCATTAATTAATTTTTAGGTACTTATTCGAAAATTCCGATCAAGCGCAATTGTGCGCATGTCATAGTGATCTTTGCAATTTAGCGCCTTCGATAATTTCCATTCATCGTTTAATCTATCTGATATATGTTTTATTCATATTTTTTTTGTAATTTTTGCTCAAAATTTTAATTTTTATTCATTTTAAGCAAATTATTTTAATAAAAGAAAGAAGCGATAACGAAGGAAAATAATTACAATTAAATGTTTTGAAAAATTAATTTCATAAATTAAAATTTGAAATTATTGAAATTTTTACATTGAATTATTTGTTATTACTTTTGCTAAAAAATTTTTGCACAAATTTCATTTGTTTGTTTTTAATTTACATTTAATTATGTATTAATTTTGTCATTTTCATTTATCATGTATTAATAATTGATTTATTGATTGATCGATTTATTGATTGATTGATTGATTGATCGGTTTAATGATTTACTGATTGTTTGATTAATAATTTTTGTAATATTTGTTAATGTCATATCATTAATATTTGAAATGAAATGAGACCTCAGCAAAATGATCAACCATTGCAAATTATTAGTAAATTTCAAAGATTAAAAAAAAAAAAGAAAACGACACTAAAGATTAAATAAAAAGTAAAAAATAAATTTAATTATGAAATTTGAAAATAAACGATTAAATGTTTGAATCAAATTTGCAATAATTTCTATTTAAATTTATTTTTCAATAATTTCTTTTTCTTCCTTTGATAATCTAAAAATTTAATTAATTGCTTTATTTAATACATTTTTAAATGATTAAAATATATAAAATTTTAAAATTTAAATTGACTAATAAATATCATTCAAATATTTCAATACTTTTATTCGATAGTATTACTCAAATCTTTTCCACGTCTTTTTTTTATTGTCGAATTTTTAACAAAAATTTTTGAAATTGTAAAAACACGCTAAAACTGTTAGCTATTTAATTTAATTAATAAATCCTAAAAGAAAAAAAAAATTAGTTACATATCTTACATTAATTTGTAAACTAAATGTTTCAAAGGCGCAAAATGCATTTACAAGAAATGCGCAAAATGCAATTGATTGATGGCAAAACATTTTTTTTTATATCGTAAAAAAAAAAAAAAGAAAGAATGAAAAAAATGAATCAATATTGCGATCGTATACATTTAGCAAATAAATTAAATTAATTAAATTCATCTAAAATATTTCATAAAATTTGGAATGAAATTTAAATACAAACAAATACATATTTTTATCAAATTGTTAACAAAAACTATTGCTTTTTTCCTTTCTTTTTTAAAAAAAAAAAATGATTTAAATTAAAATAAGCTAAAATATTTGTTACATTAATTTGTTTTTAAATTTAAATTTGATATATTCAAAAATTATTTGATTTTTTTTTTCCAAATAATATTTAAAATAATTTTTTAGAAATGAAAAAAAAAAACGATCACAATGACTGATAACTTGTCATATATATCATATCAGCACTCGGAATATATTGCATCGATTGATTTGTATTATAAGCAAAATTAAATCCAGGCGCAGTTGCTACTGCTAATTGATTATTGTAAGCTGTCGCAAGACTATTCGTCTCCTGAATCGCTGATGACATTGACGTTGACATTGATTGATTCAAAAGCATTTGTGAACATTGTTGACGTTGTTGTCGCTGCTGCTGTTGTTGTTGTTGTTGTTGATGTTGTTGTTGTTGTTGTTGTTGATGATGTTGTTGTTGTTGTTGTTGTTGTTGATGTTTAATATCAAATAAGCCATCATCACTGGATATATCTGAATCTTCTTTTCGTTCACCACATAAACCACTGAAATTTAAATAAATATAAATTTTCATAATATATTTATAAAAATGTTTATTTAAGCAAAAAAAAAAAGTTTATATTTATTAAAATGTATATTTAATTAAAATCAAAATTAAAAAGAAAAATGATTTAATCTCTTTTTTTTTTATTTTACTAATAAAAAGTAAAGAATTAAATGTTTCAATGAAAAATAAAAATAAAAAAGAATAAAATGTTTAACATAAACTTATTACTATTAAATTTAAAAAAAAAAAAGAATGAATTTTAGTTCAAAGTATAGTAAAACAATATTTTAAAAGATAAAATTATTTGTAAATATTGTTTTTTTTTAATTAAAATGAATTTTAATTTGAATGATTATCAGTGCTCGTAAAATTTGATAGAGATAAGTTAATTATTTAATTTTTAACTTGAATAATATTTGCAATCCTAAAAATATTTTCCATTAATTTAAGAAAAAAAAATAATTGAAATTATATAAAATGCAATGCACTATTTGATATAAATATTTGATATTAATTTCTTGCAGTTTAATCTCAAATTTTTATTATATTTTTAATTTTCTTAATAAAATTAAATATGATAATAGCAAACTTTTATTTTAAGAAATTTAAAAACAAATAATTAATATTTTTTCTTTATTAATGCAATTAATCTTAAATAATTTAAAGTGAATTAGTACAGAATGAATTAATTAGTAAAAAAATTAACAGTTAATTAGTGCAAATGTAATGTCACGATAGTGTGACATTTTAGTAGGATAATTATAATTATTCAATCTTACTATGAGTGTTTAATAAGAATTAAATCAAAAATTAATTATTTAAATTTTAAGATAAAATTTAAAAAAAAAATCATTGAAATCTGTCAAAATTCCGTTTTTTTTTTATCATTTAAATTCCATTTAAGTAATTATATTATTTCAATTTTGTTGATTTTTGTAATTTTTGAGATAAAATTTTAAAAAGAAATATTATTTAAATTATCCAAAATTCCATTTTCTTTTTTTGTTATTTAAATTCCATTTAAATATTTATAACATTTAAATTTTGTTAATAACCTTAATTTTAAGATAAAATTTCGAGAAAATAACACTTAATTCAAATTTTAAAATTCCGTTTCTTTTTTTTTAATCACTTAAATTCCAAATAAATTTTTGTTGAAATGTTTAATAAATTTTTTTTTTTGAAAAAAAAAATTGACAAAATTATATTTAGTTTATTCTAAATATTATATATCACTGATGGATTAATTATGATTTATGACAAACAGACAAGTAAGTATCGTTGACATTTTCTTCTTGTCATTTAGCAATTATCAATTGACAGACAAACAATCATCGCTTGGATTAGTGTTCGTGTCAATGTGTCATTGTGTAATAGAATTATTATACTGCTAGTTAATTAATCAAAATTAAAATTTTTTAACAAATATTAAATAATCAATTATTTAATTATAAATTTATGCTTTTATTATTATCATTAAAATTACTTTTAAAATAATTTATCTCATTAATTAATCTTCAAATAATTCATAATTTCACTTTTGTTTAAACAAATTATTCTAATATTTTAAGTATTTTCGTTGTTTCATTTTATTTTATTTTTTTTATTTTTTTTGCAAATTGTTTTGTTGTAAATTAATAATTACAATAATTTTTTAAAATATTTTTAAATTTTTACAATATTTTTTAATAATTTCTCAAATAATTATCTTTGATTAATAAATTTTTAAAAATTTTTTTCATTGATTACATTTTTAGTTTATTGTTTATTTAATTTTTTCTCATTTTATAGAAAGTTATTGAATAAATAAATTTATTATTTTTCTTTCTTTTTTTTTTTTCGTGCATATTTTGTTGTAAAAATAATAATTTTTTAAATAATTATCGTTTTTAAAATTTTTTTTATTAAATAAATTTTTATTTTATTGTTTATTTAATTATTTCTTTCTTTGTTTTTCTTTTTCACTGAAAAATTATCATAGAACAAATAAATTATAATTTTTTAAAGTGAAAAACAAAGAAAAATAAATAAACAAAAGAGAAAAAGAAAAAGAATCCATTGTGTGTCACATTATTGTTACATCAATAAATTAGTAAATGTTTATAAGATATTCTCTACAAAATGACTATAATATCATTTCATTGTTCACTTCTGTAAATAAACTTTACAAATAACTAAAGTTTCTCTCTCTCTCTCTTTTTCTCTCTTTCCCTCTCTCTCTTTCTCTCATTCATTTCATTCGTTCCTTTGTTCATTCATTGTTTTCACATAAATTGTGAATAAAGAACACCTGAAAGTTTTGAAGTGAATGACATACAAAAACATACACACAGACATACACATACACAAATATATATATACAGACACATACATAGACAAACAAACACATACAAATACACACATACACACATACACAGACATACACATACCCAAACAGACAGATTTATGCAAATATATTCAGATATGAGTTGCTCTCCTCTGTCTTGTCAAGTGTCAAGTGGTCCCGGAATTACAGGTCGTACACAAATAGCTTTTCTGCCCAGAACTGCTAAACCTTGTTTACACAAAATAAACAATTATTAGAGAAGGTTAGATAGAATTGATCAAATCTACCGTAATCATCAACGAGAGAGAGAGAGAGGGAGAGAGAGGGAGAGAGACGAAAGAAAGAGAGTCAAACATATGATTGTTATGAATGTGTGAATGAATGATTCGATTGTTTTGTTTTGTTTTTCAAATTCTATCAATTTTTATTTATATTATATTATTTATATAAAGTTGAAAGTAATTATTATGAATGATTGCATTTTTTTTTCTTTTGTTTTGTTTTTGTTTTTGAAATTTTATTAATTTTTATTTATAAAAGTATGTAAATTTATTAATTACATAATTGTATAAATAATAAAACTAATTTACACTGAAGTAATTGAATTAAATTGACTTATTTTATAATATGGATTTTTTTTTTTTGTAAATCATTTAGTTATTTTATCCTAATATTTTAACTTTTTTTTTGAAAATTAAATTTTAATTTGAAATAAATCATTTGATGAAAATTTATGCAAGCAATATTTTTAAAATCATTCATTTATTTTATTCTAATATGTTTCAATTTTTTAATCATTAGTTTAATCTCTTGTAAATTTAATTTAAATCATTGATAAAAGAAGAAAAAATTTTCTTTTTTTTAATCTTATTTGATTAGCAAATTGATTTTATTTTTTCATAAATAATAAATAAATTAATTAATTTTTTTCATACAGTATATGAATGTTTAATTTTTTTCCTTTTTTTTTGCAAATTAGAATGGAAAAAA